ACTTGGAAAATGACGCAATACAATTTTATTTTTATTTTTATATTATATGCTTTTGTTACAAACCAAAATATGTAAGTATTGTAAACATTCGAGAAACATCTGAACATCCTTCGTGCTTATTAGAGAAAGTCATTTTCAATTTTCTATCTGTACAATCTCGTAAATGCATCACCTAAGTAAGTTAATATATCTCATTCCATTTCTTTATCTTACTTATTATAAAATGCAGGTTGTGTGTGTGTGTGTGTGTGTGTGTGTGTGTGTGTGTGTGTGTGTCTGTAACGTTTATATGTTGGATCGAATTTCCTACATTTTTTAGCCGATTTCAACAAAACTTCACAGGACTACATAAAATTACCTTGGTGGTGGTTCTATCTGGACCGAAAATGGGAAAAATACAGTTGTTTTTAATAAAATCAATTTGAAAACACGATTAAGACACATCGTGAGAATGAAAGGGGGAGAACTCACCCACGAAAATGTAAACAAAAGAGCATAGCATGATGAAAAAGACGCCGAACTTGACAAAAACAAAATTTTATCGTCTAATGTTCATATTATTATTAAAGAGGAAAGATCAAAGTATTTTTGGGGTATTTTTTACATTTTTAATCGTTCCTAGCACGCCTGAAATTTTCGTTAAAAATATTGTTTTTTTTGGTCAAAAAAAAAGGCAGATAATCATTTTCAATCATTTTTTTTCGATTTGATAAAAAAATTAAAATCTTACTTTGATATTCTTTTAAAAGTCAATTATCATTTTTTTCAAAACTGATTTTAATAAAAACAGAAATTATACTGTTTATTTAAAATGTTTTGAACCAAGCTTAACTTAGCTTCTGCGCCGAAAAAATGTAATTTGAAAATAAAACAAAGCAGGTCATAACCTTTCGCGTCGCTTGACGATTGACAAAAGGCACATTCATGACGTTTAGATAACTTACGGGAGGAGAATTCTTTCTACGGATGGAAGGAAGTGAAATTATTTAAGTGAACAAATTATTTACCTTGTTACTTTTAAGGGAAAGTTTCAGCGCTCTAATTTTTTTATTTTTTATTTTTTTTATTTTTTTTTTTTTTTTGTACTTAGCTTTCATTTTTACGTTTACGATGCTTTATGGAAAATATAAAGAAATTAAAAATAAGACTCAAGATTAAATTTCATAAGAAAAAGGTATCTAATTAATTTAGGTACCTTTCTTATGAAATTTTATCAGAAGTGTACATAAAATACTATAATTTTATGTACATTTATTACATTTTACTGTGTTATTTGTATTTCCATTCATTTTATTATTAATTTTGATATTTCATTTATGGAAAAATGTCATAACTGAGATTAATATAAAAATAAGATCATATAAATTAAAGGTTAGCAGTAGTTAAATTTCATAAGATGATACAGTTACTTGTAGGTACCCTTCTCCGTTGAAATTGAAAACTCAAATTAACTTCTCCATACGTGTTTCGCAAAAGTAAAGGGCTTAACAGCGGAGAACAATGCTGAACTCAAATAATGCAACTAAATTGTATTCTGGTTGGTCTTCCGTACTTGATAATTAGTGTCCGACTATAAACACAAAATTACATTTCTTAATTACCATGGCTAATCTGATTGGTCCAAATTATACAATTTTCAAAGCGCTAGACAATGACAATCTCACACTGACATTTTGAAAGGTTGATGTTGCTTTTAACTAATGTTAAAATATTTTTTAAAATTCAATTTAAACATTTTTTAAAAATCTTTTTAAAATTAAAGAAATAAGAAATAATTGTATTAAAAATTCAATTTTCATTGAAAAAATTTTTTGCTTTCAGAAAATATTGTCCATATTCATAAAAACAAATTAAAACAAATAAAAGCATTTGAAACTAAATAATATATTTGTTTTATAGAGTTTTGTATGTTACAATTCACAGCTGATTTTCAGGTACGTTGGCCAAAAAACAAAAAACAAAAAAAAAAAAACATGATTTGCATTCTTCAAAGCCTTTTGCTTTTAACTATTGTAATCACTAAAACCGATGGTCTCGAATTTCTAGAGTTTTTCATAAAATTAGTTATGGGAGTGTTAATAAATATAAAAAAAAATATTTCTGCCATGACTTTAATAAAAAAAAATATTTATAATAATTTCGATCATCTGTGAATAGTTTCTGAAAGTTTCATTAACATCTGACAATTATTTTTATTTTTGCAAGATTTTCCAAATTAATGTGTGTAAATACAAAAAAATGCGCTAAAAATTATCTTTGTTATTTACTACCCTTTGTTGCGACAAAGAGAAACAAGTTTTTTTTAAATCAAAATTTAGAATATTCTAAAAAGATGGAAAAATTTTTTAAAAATAATTAAAAAAAAATTTAGTCTATCCTCTTCATAAAAAAATAAGTATTTTGACGATAAAATTTTGTTTTCATAAACTTAGGCGTCTTTTTTCATCAGACTATGCTCTATGTTTTAGCGATTCCGTGGAGTGACTTAGGTTAAAAACCCAGGTTGTTTATGTGTGTGTGTGTGTGTGTGTGTGTGTGTGTGTGTGTGTGTGTTTTTTCCTTTATATATGGGATCGGATTTCTTACATTTTCAGCCGATAAAACAAACATCCACTTTTTTTCGGCAGGTAGTATTTCTTATTGTCTTGCACACTTTTTTTCTTTTTATTTACATTCAGAATGCTTTAAAAAATCCATTTACAAGACAATTGTTTATAATAAAATACTATTCACCAATCGATAGACTCATAACGATTGTAAACAATGTTTTTGTTTGAATTTGGGTTTGACCAATTCGTAAAAAAAAAAAAAAACAAACTAATTAAGACATGCGTGTCCGTCAACATTAAACAATAATCTTTGTCAATTTTATTTTTCAGTCTTTATGATGGTCGATACTTGATCTATCTCTTACTGTTACATCCCCGGGCAACACCGGGCTCTACTGCTAGTCTTATATAACAACCTCTTTCTCAGACGAATAATAGTTTTATCGATGGAGTCGTATAGATAGAATTGTGGAAAGAAATACAACAAACATTGGTTACTTTTCTTATCGACAAATGCTGAAGATAGTGGAACGCTTAACATTGAATTTAAATTTTCAAGTATTCGGTGTCTGTCTGAATTCATTCTGCTTTCTATTTTTATCGCTTTTTTTTTTTAAATAATACACTATATCGCGATAGATAGAGTTCAAAAGCGCTGACTCGACCTTGTGCGTGATGAACTATTTACCGCCTTACCACACACCTTCATCACATGCCTCTCGCAAATCAGTTGCTGTTTCTATGGAAAATTTCTGACGAGCTACATTCATTCAACGAAGACTCACTATGCCACATACACTGGTTCGAACTATCTTCATTCGCTTTGTATTTCACTTGTAAGAAAGAAGTTATAATCGGAAATTTTCTCCCCAAGAAAACCGACTCCCGAGACGATGCTTTCCCGACAACTACAATCTTAACCTTTTCTAATTAACCGTTATATTTTTCACATATACACATAAACTGTACTTTTTACTTCTTACACTTACCGTTCATACAACTACTTCAGTAATCCTTTACCTTGGATGGCACTTGGGCTTTATACAGGGTAAAAATTAAAGAAAGGTCAGTTAATCTTCATCTTGAAAAGAGTTTTTTTTTTTTACAAAGCCAAAGAGCAATTCAAGGTTGTGGATTATTAAAGTGTTTGTTGTATGAGCCTTAAGATTAAGAAACTCAGCTGATGGGGATATATTGGAACAAGAACAGTTAACTCTAAACTTGAAGAAGTTAAGATAACCATTGGTACTTACTAAAAACAAATTATAGAAAACCAGTCGCCTGATTGGACTGAAACTGCTTTATCCTTCACGTTGGAGCATGTTGACGCTATTGTGCTAACACAGTTTACACTATGATTTGTTGTTTCGGCAGTATTACTGTAATCAACGAACAAATACACACCCATAATAAAATTAGGTCATTATAATTCAGATTCTTTTCTGTAGTGGGTGGGGGTTAGCTTATAAGATTATACATATTGATTTGCTTGCATTTAACTCGTGTAATATTGACTTTTCCCAATCAAAATGTCTGTCGGTGTTACTTCCTTTGTGGACAAATAAATTTTTATGAGCGTATAAATGCATTGCTATAAGGGAATGGCAAAATTGTTCGTTTTAATACTATTTTAAAAAGCCAGCTTATTTCAAACAACATTAAACCTGGTTCAAAAGTTTTTGTCTGTTAAAAGGTACACATTATTATTCTTATGGTTTGACTTAGCAAACTAATATTTAAGAGAACTCACCCGAAACAAGAGAGAGTTCTTCCACAGCGGCTGGAAGAGAAAGTTAGGCAACCGATGGGATTTCCGGTTATGTAGCATATCTTCTTGTCTGTAGATTGTGGGAAATACCTATTCCAGCACAATTAGGTGTTTGAAATGATGTGTTCACTACATTAAGCGTTTACTCGTATGACTCTAAAAATGGGGCAGTGGTCTCTGGACCGTAGGTTTCCTGTAAGATTCTCCTTTTCGCAAGCACATCAATAATCGGGTTTAAGCAACGTATCACTCTTTCAATGTGTCACCGACAATAAAGCTAATTACAGTAGTATTGACTTCGAACTTTCTACAATCTATTTGTATTCTATATGATTTTAGATTTTGAATTTAGTATATGTTATACAATTAACGCTATGTTATACATTAACGGGCAATAACTTAAGTAAAACTTGAAGAATCGGAGCAATCTTGAAAATCACTATCAAAAGAGGATGAAAATTCTCTTAAGCGGACAACAAAGAGGGTCGTTGATAAATTTAAATTCTTAAAAAGAACGAAATCACCAATAATAGCGAAAACCTGAAGAATCCTCAAGGGGAAATACAAAATGTCGAATATTGACAAAGTTTGATCGAAGAGTTGGCCGCTTTAGAGGATTTTCTCCACCTTTTATCTTTACGGCAGTAATTTTCAATATATTTCCATTTTTTTATGTTATATGCTTACGGCCATATCACTCAGAAATACCAGCGCTCGTGCGATTCCCGAAGTTAAGCAACGTTGAGCCTGGTCAGAACTTAGATGGGTGACCGCTTGGAATTACCAGGTGCTGTAAAATTGGATGTGTGGGTGGTAAATAGATAGCGGAACTGGAAATTGGAGAGTCGAGTTCCTTTTTCTGTCGGGTCTGTTATATTCCCTTACGCGCAAATACCCTTAGGGAAGGTATGAATCTACTTCTTCACCCTCCAGCTATGGGTTAATTAGTAAGAGTTGGTTGTTAGAAACAAAGAAAAGACTATTGAAATGTTACGCAACATTAGTTTTCTCCTATAACAGTGAATTCTGAACAATTTCTTCACAGATGTAGAAAAGAATTGAGGCAGCGAAAACTTTGTTGCACAGAAGGATGCTGAGAATACCGAACAAGTGAGCAACGACAAATTTTTAGAGAAAAATGGAAACAAAAAAGACACAACAAAAAAAAAACAGTTGAAATGTCTAGTGCCCATAATGAGGAAATAAGGTTTGGAGAATTTGATACTCACAGGACAGATTGAAGACAAGAGGAAAACAACGCATAATCTATCTAGCGAGGTTGTGTAAATGGCTGGCAGAACTAGTTTTAGGAGAGATAACAATTATTAAGAGCTACAAAGAACACGAAATTGGGAAGGACCATGATCGCCATATAGAAGAAGCGTATCAGTAAATCATTATTATCTCCAAAATCATTCATACAATCTGAAAATATTTTCTGGCTTCAAATAATCAGCAAAAGATTGATAAGCCGTAAAAATCAAGCCAATCTTTATTTTATAGTTACTCTGTGTTCGTACTGTGTTCTTTGTATACCTTGGTAGCGTACTAACATCAAATACATGCGCTGAAATAGATGTCGATAAACGAATCAACGTCGCCCATACATTATTCGGGGTGCTATTTAAAAGGGACTTCAGCAATCTGGGGATAACAAAAACAGCCAAGCTCACGGTCAAGCTGTTATTTCGACTCTGCTACACCCCTATGAGACTTGGGTACTCTGCCGAAGAGACACCCGTAAACTTGGAAGATTCCATCAAATGAAACTTTGTCGAATCCTGCGGAACACGTAGCAGGACCGGATCACAAACAACGAAATTCTTCTCCGCGCTAAGATGGAGAGCCTAGAAACCATCATGACTTGCCACCAACTTCGATGGGCCGGACACCTTGCCCTAATGACAGACATCCGCCTATCAAAACAAATCTTCTTCTCAGATCTGGCATCTGGAAAATGGCTTAAGGATCAGCTCAAAAACACCTTGCTGAATACAGAAATCGATCCGGTCAATTGGGAGACGGAAGCTGCAGAAAGAACGAATTAGCGAAGAGCAATCCGCAAAAAATTTAACATCCTTCAAAAACACCGGAAGACAAGTAGAAGAGAGGAAAGACCCCCAAAGAAAAACCAGAGCTTTCCATCCCCTTAACCCTCCCTACCCTACTATGCGGGGCTGCGGACATCTATCCAGATCCAACATAGGACTCATTTCACACATATGTATATATATATATAGGAAATGTCGATGAGCACTCCAATAGTCGTCAACAAGTTCCGCCAACGACGACGTGTTCTTACTGTATAATCTAGTTAGGTTTGGAGGATCATCTCTCTCGGTTTTATACTCCCCTTCTCTTACTTACTATTAGGTACCAAATACAAGTGCCGGCATGGTTAAATCAGTCCCTTTAATTTCCCTCACCGGCACGGTACTTATTTGGTTCAGCACGCTTATTAATTTTCGAATAATTTATTACCGCATTAGTTTTAAGCTTATAAAAATTCTTGGCGGAAGGTTTATTTGAACCAGTTTGCTTATTTCATAAGTTGGAAACCTCCCACCGGCACGATTATTCCAGACGGCAATTTGATACAAAAGAGTGCTCGCAATAACGGATGCACGATGATTGGTGAACTAATGCTACCAAGATAGTAATACAATTTCATTCGAAAAGAAATGATCACTATACGTACTGACGTCGACAAGAAGTTAACAAGTGGTCCTTAGAGTGACGTTTTTGTAAATTCGTTTTTAAGACATTTCAGTTAGAGAAGAGTCGCAAATATTTTGTCAGATCAAGCGATATGTCAAGTAAAAAGAGTTATAGATATTCGGAATTAAACTTAGATGATTATTTATTTCATGCAGTCTACGGGTCAACATGCGTCCTGCAAGACAATCCAAAATAACTCAGGTTTCTTTTCTTGTGTGTTCATCAGAATAAGTTCGACGACTGATTGAAAAATTTAGTTTTGTAGAAGCATGAATATTCAACCAATATTTCACCGTCTTTGCATTCTCTCTATATATCTTTCTTTCCATCGCTCGCTCTCTCTCTCTCTCTCTCTCTATATATATATATATATATATATATATATATATATATATAGAGAGAGAGAAAGAAAAGTGATATATATATATATATATATGTGTGTGTGTGTGTGTGTGTATTTCATCATCCCTTTCCTATATCTCTTTCTTATCATGTCTCTCTGTGTAACTATAACTTCTCTCAGTATCTCTTTCTCACCATCCAGTCATCTCTTTCTCATCATCCATCCCAATAATCTCTTTCTCGCCATCCCTCTCTCTATATTTCTCTCATAATGTCTCTCTCAGTATCCTTTTTTCAATATCTCTTTCTCATCATCCCTCTCTATATCTCTTTAATCTCTATCTCACCATTCCTCTTTTATATCTCTTTCTCGTCATCTCTATATATCTGTCTCTCCTTATCTCTTTCTGTCCTTCTCTCTATATATCTTTCTCAGTATATATATATATATTTATGTATATATATATATATATATATATATCATATATATATATATATATATATTATAATCTCTATCTCACCACCTTCGTCGTCAGGGAAAGCTGGCTAAGAATATATAGTCATATATATTTGACTATACATTCCGTTCTTCTTTCTTCATTTCCTCGATCCACTTAGGGTGAAACCTTTATGTATATCTGTCTCACTCTATTTAGTTATTTTGCGTACTCTCCTTCTTTGGGCCTTGACTCTGCTGGACGATTATTTTCGATTGACGTACATCTTGGTTCTTTCTTTTTATACCTTTTTTTTTTCCCTTTGGTATTGGCTTATTATTTGCAAAATTAACTTTTCTCAGTATATTTCTTATACTTATAATTTTCTATTAATATATATATATATATATATATATATATATATATATATATATATATATATATATATATATATATCATAATATTTCTCTCAACGTCTCTCTTTATATATATATATCCTTCATATATCTAATTTTTGTCATCCCTCATCTATCTCTATCTGTTGCTAATACTCAGTAATTTTACTCTAAAAATTAACTGAAAACTATGGTTTTCAAACCCAAGCCTTGTGAGTAAAGTTGGGTAGATGTAATTTTTTGTTTGTACTAGCACGAAGTCGCAAGTCATCGTAACCGTTGACCACACCAGTTAATGCGCTCTCTCCCAGAAACTGTAACTAAGATTCTCTCAGTATAGTTCCAATTGAAACCACAGGTAGGATCCGTGGGTTTTTGAACAAGTTAATGTACCTGAGCAAGCGACCTAAATAAAGAATGGCTAGATACCATAGCAGGCATATTCGGAAACGAGCGACCATCCATTATGCACATAAACACACACACACACAAATATATATATATATATATATATCAAAGTATATAATTGGTATATACGGAATGAATTCAATAACCAACAATTACTATTCTTTGCTCAATACAAAGTGACAGATATAATTATTTTTATAAAAAATTATAACATAAGTATGTTATAAGATCACTACAAAAATAGCCATTTTGTTTCAACACATTCTGTGTCTTCTCAAGTGATGATGTTGAAAATAAAATAAATGGTTTTAAAAAGTTTCAGATTAATTAACGATCCTACATTAGGGGATTTCAAAAACGTTATTTTGACAACGAAATCCTGCATAATAGCTATTCAGATCTTTAAATACGTGTAATTTAAAAATTTTCTTAACTGGGCCTTTAATCACTATTACTACAAAATTATTGAGGAAAAAAAATATATATGATTCAATTTTTCTTCATTGAAATTGACAAGTACATATATCTCATTTGGTATATATATATTTTTTCCCTTTCCCTTTTTTCCGTTTTTATTTTAAAGTTTGTGGATGTGGTCTTAAACTCACGCGTCAAGACAACAAAAACACAATCAGATTATAATACATAAGCACCCATAATTAGATACACACACACACACACACACACATACACACACAAAACACCCACACACACACATACATACACACTAAAAAAAAAAAAAAAAAAAAAAAAAAAAAAAGAAAGGAGGTGGTGGGGAAAAACATGAACATCTCTACAGCCCTTTATGAAAAAAGGGAGACGTGAAACTAACACTAATACACACACACAGTTTCTTTAGACACCGATAGAAATACATACATCCACAGACAATGACAGACAATGAGAAATCACAACCAATAAATATTTCAGACTTAAATAAATGCTAACCACTTATAATTATAACTTAAAGGGAGCAAATATATAAAAATGGTTAAAAATAATATTATTTAATATATTAAAACGAAAATTCTAAAACCATAAATATCAATAAAATATATATAATCATATATTTATATATATATATATATTAGGCAAGGAAAACAGTATACAGAAACACACAACCATATATATATATATATATATATATATACACAGTTAACACACATAAATATACACTCATACATATATATACATATATATTTACATACAGTCATCAAATAAATATATAAACATAAACATATACGCTATACATATCTATGATAACAAGTACACATGCACGCTATACATATAAACCTAAATACACCCACATTATACACACAAAACTTTTATCACACATACTTACATATATAAAAAACAGTCATGATATACCAAAGTTTCCATACCCCACATACACACAAACAAACTCATACATAATTGCTATATATATACACATAAACATACATAAATTATATACACATACATACATATCTACAAATAAACATATATATAAAATATCT